TCTTAAGTACCCACTCCTATTTCAATTAGCAGTGAATGGAAAGTCATGGGAGTTGCTTGGGTTGTCTTGCAAACAGCATTTTCAAAAGAATCCAGGCACTATGACCTTCGCTGGAAAGCAATTTAAAGGTGAGGGTTGGGGGCGATGGTGTTTGTTTGCATTGTAAACTCTAAGATATATTTTATTCTCCTTCCACACAACATCTCATAGTCACTGGAAATGGAGGGAAATTCATGTCAGTTTCGGAGGAAAAACTAGCTTCGGGTAGGGGAGCTCTCAGCTCTCTTTCCCCAAAGTGCAGACTTGGTAGAGCTGAGAAGCACCCTCCTACCTTGCACTGGTATGAAACTTTAGGATTGATTAAACACTTATACTCATTAACTGCTTAAAAGCCTAAGAAAATCTAGGTTAAGAATATCTCCATTTTTAGGAGAAATACAGACTTGGAGAAGTTAATTTGTTCAAGTTATACAAACCAGTAAGTGCTGGAGCTAGTACTCGAACCCACATCTGGGTTGTGCCATGGTTACTGTAGGAAGCTGGATGAAAGTGGAGAAAAAAACACCTTAAGGGGAGAGGTGGAACATTGGACACCAAGAAGCCTCCTTGGGCAGTCCACTCAGGATCGACCCCCGTTGTGGATTAGAGCTTAGGAAGAAGTGAGGGTCAGTGGTTTAAAACAGACTTCTCAGATATTTGACATTCAAATTGGTATGGTTTCTACTCCATGCAACAACAACAAAATTCTGGCAATAAAACTTGCTGTGTTTAAAATAATAAATGCCTCCTCTTTGATTAGAGGAAAACATTAATGAATTATGGCTGCTAATGTCCTTTCAAAACGTGAGTACTAGGCCAAAGGCTTCTGTTCCAGGGCAGATAAGTATCTAGATTCCCACCATCCAGAGATAGTCACTTAAATGGACATTTTGCTGTATGTGCCTTTAGATACATGTGTGTGCATGCATTCACAAGCATATTTATATTTGTATAGTTATAAGTGTACAGACATTAAAAAAAATGGGATCTTGGGGCATCTGGGTGGCTCAGTCAGTTAGTTGAGCGTCTGACTCTTGATTTCAGCTCAGGTCATGATCTCAGGGTTGTGAGATCGAGCCCCGCGTCAGGCTCTGCACTCGGTGCAGGGTCTGCTTAGGATTCTCTCCTTCCTCTGCTCCTCCCCCCACACACTCTTTCTTTCTCTCTCTCTCTCAAATACATAAAAAAATAAAATCTTAAAAAAAAATGGAATCTTACTTTGAATACCGTTTTATATCATGTTTCTTCTACTCATGAGCAAATTATGGACTTCTTTTAATACACTATATCTAATTGGAAATCTATGGTGTTTTGTTTCCAGGCCTTTCAAAAGTTACCTTTTTTCTTTTTTTTTTTAAGATTTTATTTATTTATTTGACAGAGAGACAGCGAGAGAGGGAACACAAGCAGGGGGAGTGGCAGAGGGAGAAGCAGGCTCCCCACTGAGCAGGGAGCCCGATGAGGGGCTCGATCCCAGGACCCTGGGATCATGACCTGAGCCGAAGGCAGACGCTTAATGACTGAGCCACCCAGGCGCCCCAAAAGTTACCTTTTTTCTTAAACTAGGAAGAAATTTTCTGAAGTACAAGAGAGGACACAGTGAAAAGTAACTCTTCCTCCATCCCAGCCCCCCTTTTAAAAATATTTTTTTTATTTATTTGAGAGAGAGACAGAGAACATAGAGTGAGAGAGAGAGAACACAAGCAGGAGGAAGGGCAGAGGGAGAAGCAGGCTTCCTGCTGAGCAGGGAGCCCGATGCAGGGCTCTATCCCAGGACCCCGGGATCATGACCTGAGCCAAAGGCAGACGCTTAACTGACTGAGCTACCCAGGTGCCCCCCTCCTTCCCCTTGTACAACCATCCTGGCAGCCCTGGTATTAACCTCTGACTGGGGCTTCTGACCCACCAACCCCTATGAAATATTATCCTCCTCCCTAACTTACCTAGCAACGGCCTCTCCCCAGCTAGATCTTGCCTCTACACATTTCATGAGACCTGCCATTCACCCCAACTCTAAACACTGCCTAAGTAATTATATATTCCACCAGTTGTCTCAGCTCTCCTAAACCTTGGATTAAGTGCATAGAGCAAAACATGAGTCTTTAAATTATCTTGGTTACTATAAATCTCAGAATCAAGGTTTTATACATGTAAGCAATTCCTATTGCTCAATTTCATAATGGCCTGATCCGTTTGAAAACAGACTGGTGATCTGCATGGAGCAACACGTTTTAGGTTGCATCATAAAGATTATTGGTTTTAAGTACACCACTCTGGTTTGAAATCACCATTTTTGCGGCCTGACTTCGATCCCAGCCCACAGCCTCTGGGTCCTGCTGGTCTAAACAACGCCTCTCCGAAGAGTCTCAAGCTTACTTCTCAAAGGCAGGACTCACAGAGGAGGGTTCTGACAAACTCTATAGTCAGTCTACCATTCCCTGTTCCTTCCTGCACTTTCTCCATGAAGCAGCTGACTCTAAAGTAATTACTAATGCCCAGGACTGACTGACCACTCCCTCTCCTCCTTTCTGTAAACCCCTCCAATTCAGGGCTACCAAGGAGACTTCGCAGGTGGGCTGCAGGGGCAACCCGGGGCCCACATTCCCATCAGTCCTTCCCACTGCTTGGGAATCCCGCTCCAGGTGCCTCTCCCTCCCCTAGTCTCCACAAGTGTGCTAAGCTGTAGGCAATTGACCACTGAAGCTTAGCCCAGTTATCAGTCAACCAACTTCTAGTTAGTTCTCTCTATACCCACAAGGAATGACAGTAATAACTAAGGCAAGAAAGCAAAGCCACAGCCGGAAAGAGATCTACTGTCTCCATCTGGTCTACCCATTGCTGAGATCAGTCACTCCACTCCACACCTGGGAGGTGATCACGCGGCTGCCATAGCCCATTTGGTTCTTAGTTTATCTTCCCTATTTCTTTGCTCAGAGATTACAGCATGAGCAACCCCACCCTCCAGTTCTGCCATTTTCTTTTTCCACCGTTACATCAAAGCTTCAGGGAAATAGAAAGAATCTTGTCTTCATAAGATGTGTGAGAACCAGTCTTAAATTAAGATGGTTATGAGGAAAGAATTGGGTGTTTCATTCTACTGTGCTCGATTGGATTTACAATCAATAAATAATAAACAACCATGGCTTGGGAGGGATGCTTACAGTGTTTTGTGGAAAATTTGATCAATTTTCCCATGCCCTGCTTTTCATTCCTTCCCTTGCCTCTTCCTTTTTTGGCCTCCTTGGCTTGGAGGAGCTGCCATGACTGCTGAAATTTCTGACCCGAGTATCAAGCAGGGACAGTCTCTTTAAGCACTAACAACTTTGGCTCAAGAGTTTGTAAATGGGCCAGCAAAGTGCAGACTCCACTAATGGTCAGTCAATAGCTTACACTACATTTCTAGAATCAAGCATTCAATTAGGCAATCTTAAAACGTGGTAGCCTATGTGATCTTTGTGATATGCTCTAAGGTGACATGTACCTTCAAAGCTTTTTTCCTTTTCTTTTCTCCCCTAAACTTCTTGAAGACTTAAACAACGTGTTCTTTTTCTTGATGTTCTTCAGCTCCTGTAGTTGTTTTGTGAACTTAGTGAATCTTGCAACGAGGTGAGTCGATAGTGAAAGGCTGGGGGATGGTTGTTTCCCTTATGTATTTTAGCATCCTAGAGGCAAAACTAATAAATATTCAGCGAATGATGAGCTGGTACATCCCCACGTGCGTCCTTTGCAGATCCATGCCAGTTACCCTTTCATAAGCAGTTTTACTTGGTAATTTACTAGGGCTCTGGCTGCACTCTGCACCTGCCAGTATTGCAGTAATTAGTTTATGGGTATTAGTTTATAGGATGCAAAATTATTTCTAAATTAAGGCTCTGGACTTGTAAAATCAAGAAAGGCTACAATCAACGTTGTCACTGTAGTAGCCAGCGAGTAACGGGATAAATAAGTAGGACAAGTCCTGAACCATCATCCCACGTGCACATTAGAGGTCTATACAAGATGCAGGTGAAAAACAGAGGCAGGTGGTAGGGTCCTTGTGCGATGATTTACAAACACGCCGTTGCTCTTGTCATATATAAGTAGCGCTGGGGGAGAGGAGGGAAGGGTTTGGGCATTTTAGGGCACAGGCATGTGGAGTGACATAAAACCTGAGCATCGCGGCCAGGAGCACCGGCGGGTCCTGGAAGGTGGGGAAGGGCGAGCCTCCGAGCAGGTCGGACCGAGAGGCGGCGGGGGGCGCCGCGTGGAGCCCCGCGCAGGGAGTCGGACTTCTCACCGGAGCGAGGGCGGCCGGGAGCCAGGAGCCAGGAGGGGAAGGATGAGCGGGGGAGTGGGCGGAGGGAGCCGGGAGAGCAGCGGGCAGAGCCCGAGGGCGGAAGAAAAGGAGGAGGGCGAAAGGGAGGAGAGCGGGCGGAGGGCGGGGAGGGGAGGGAGGGAAAGAGGAAAGGAAAAAGGCGGCGGAGGAGAGCGGCCCGCCCCTCCCGGCGTCCTCCTCCGCTCCCAAATTCGGGGGGGCCCAGCCCAGGCGGCCGCCTGCCCTCCCGGGGCTGCTCGCAAAACGCGGAGGCGCCGACTCCCCGGGCGCCCGCGTCCGCCCGGCGCGCGCCCCCGGCCCCGCGCGCGCCCCCGCGGCTCTCGCGCTCGGGGCATGCGCGGTGGGCGGTGCCGCTCCGGGCCGCCTCTGCCGCGGAGAGTAGGAAGCGCGAGCGCCGGGCGCCGGGCTGTCAGTGAGCGTGGGGCCAGCCGGCGAGCAAGCGAGCGGCTCCGGCTCCGGCTCCCGCGCCCGCTCCGGCCCGACTCTCCCCGGCCGCCGCCGCGGCCGCCGCTGCCGCGACCTCGGCTGCCGGCCGGCGCTCCCGCCCGGGGTCGCCCGCCGCCCCTCCCCCGCCCGCCCCCGCCCCCCCTGGCCCTCCCGGGCTGCTGCCGCTCCCCGGTGGAGGCAAGAGGTGGTTGGGGGGACCATGGCTGACGTTTTCCCGGCCAACGACTCTACGGCGTCTCAGGACGTGGCCAACCGCTTCGCCCGCAAAGGGGCGCTGAGACAGAAGAACGTGCACGAGGTGAAGGACCACAAATTCATCGCCCGCTTCTTCAAGCAGCCCACCTTCTGCAGCCACTGCACCGACTTCATCTGGTAGGTGCGCGCGGGCCGGGGCGCACGGCTGGGCGCCCGAACACCCACCCCACCCCGCGGCGCCCGGGGCTGGTGACCGGTCCCTCTCTAGTCCGGGTCACTTCGTCCCGGGGACCCTCGCTCGGGCCCCCCAGCCCCGGCGCGCCTGTTCTGGGGCTGCCTCACTCGGGGAACTTGGGGAGAGCCGGCCGAGTCCGAACTCTCGCCCGGAACGACTCGCGCGCGCCGGGGACACTCGCGGGCAGGACTCCCGGGGAAGTCGCCGCCAGGTCACACACACCCCTGCCGCAGGAGGGAGGCTGGCTCCGCGCCGCGGTGACCCTGATCACCTCCGCGGGTCTAGTGTCCCCTCTGTCTCCCAGGCGCGCCCGCCCTTCTGTACGGACAGGGGAGCCGCCGCTTGTTGGCTGTGAGCGAAGGGGAGAGCGAGAAAGGGAATCCAAAGGGCAGAGTTTCCCGGAGAAACGCCCGGAGTAACCGGGGAGCGGCGGCGATTGCGCGGGGCGGTCCAAGTTACTGGCGAGCGGGGCTGGGCGCCTTCGGGGGGGGGGGGGGGGGGGGGGGGGGGGGGG